ACACCGGGAGGGATGTGGGAGAGCCCTGCAGGGAGGAGCCCGGGCCAGGGAGGATGGAGAAGGGCCTGTCAGAGGGGGTGGTGGGGAGCTGAGAGCTTACATGGGAGACATGTGTAAGGCCCTGGGACAGGCCACGGTCTGGCTGCCATGTCTGAGGATCGGGGTGAGTCCAGGGACAGGCCGACGGGTGACAAGGCAAGGTCCTGGGTGACACTGGCGAGAGCCGGTGCTGGAGCGTGGGGGGCGGGAGCCGGACTGTGGCCTGAGAGAAGTGGGAGGAGGAACACGGCTCTTGGGCAAAGCTTGGCTGCAGAGGGAGGACGGAGGAGGTACGGAAGCTCATTGTGGGTCCTGGCTGGGCGAGGGCAGGTGTCATTTCAAAGATGGAAGAGCGTTGACTATGTTTTCCGGTCTGAGGAAGCAGACCAGACAAAGAGGGGATCTGCTGATGGGGCTGAGGGACACGGAAGGGGACGGCCCTGGGGTAGGGAAGGGGGTGCGATGACAAGGAACAAGAGTGCCCTGAGCTTGGACCTGGAAAAGCCTGCTGGCCAAGTGCCTGCCTCTAGAGAAGGTTCCAGCATTGCTTCGGTGTGACCCATTACATGACTGCCCCCCACCCCCACCGCCACTCCCACCCCCAGGAGCTGATGCCACATCTACCCGGCAAAGCAATGTGTCTGAAGAACCAGGGACCCATTGCCCTGGATCAAACCACCCACATGTGTGGCTGAAAAGAGCAGGCACTGATTAGGGTGTCCCCATTCCATGGGTGGTTCTGCTCCATGAAGCCAGGGGGGGTCATCCACGTAGCAGCAGTTAGCTGGGAGCCAGGCTGCGGCTGGAATGCCAGGGACGGACACACTAGTGTCACCGGGCCGCCTCCCTCCCCTCCGTGGGGGCCGCTCACCCTCCAGGGTGTCTGTCTGCACGAGGCCTTGACACCCGACAGCCCTGCGGCTTCACCCACAGGCTGACTGGGAGCCCACAAGCTCTAGCCCTTGCCGGCCTGCCCCAGAGGTCCCACACCTCACTCGGCCGCACCCTGCTGGTTGACCCAAGTCCAAGGGGAGGAGAAATCATTCCCACCTGTGAAGAAGAGGCGCCACGAAGTCACAGCATAGAGGGGCGTGCGGGTGGGAGGGACGGTGGCCATCGTCTTTGGAAGCAGCTGGCCACGGCATTCTTTCGAGATAGACGCTTGCAGTGAAAATGTCTTCGGTGGTTTTTAACTGCTCATTTAGAAAAAATGATCCTAAATGAACATTCTCCTTTATCCCTTTATTACATAAATAGGAATTGATTATGGGAAAATGACAAGATAACATTTCACCAAAAAGGAAAACGAGAATCCCCTGAAATCTTGTTCCCTAGAGAAAACGCACAGGAGGTGGGTCACTCTGGAGAGTTCATCCTGCGAGACCTTCGGCCAGAAACAACTTTTTCCGACGATTAAAATTCTGAAATTTTAGATATATTGCCATCCCTGAATAATCATGGGAAATCATGAATGGAGCCTGAGATGTAATTGGTACAGAGAGGAATGTGAAATCTAATTTACCGGATGTCTGCTGGGTGTCTGGCAGTATGCTGGGCTCCTGTTCCCCAGATGCTCACAGCAGAACGGGAGACAGACGAGTGGACAGAGAATTTCAGCTCCGTGTGGTGGGAGCTAGAGCAGAGGGGCGCCGGGGGGCCCTGGGCACTCAGGCTGGGAAGGGGCAGGAGGAGAGAGAGGACAAGTTTCTCCCATGAGCAATGACCCCCGCAGGATGGGCTGAAACTCGAGCAGAGGTGCGCCAGGGCCAGGAGCCAAAGGGGAAAAGTATAAAGAGATACGGGCAGGTGGACAAGGAATTTATAAAAGGACTTTTGATGTGATGTAGTATGTCCCAGCATTTAGTGTTCCTTATTTCCAGACAGGCACTGGATCCTTTTTTACAAGCTGTTTTTGTAACACAAGTACCCAAACCCACATGAAACAGTTTAGCTTAATAAATTATTATTATTAAGCTTTTAATTGCCTCTCCCAGGACAGGAGAGAGATCCTCACCAGCCATGCAGAGCCCTCCACGCACTGCTCCCAGGTTAGCCTCCCAGCGCCTCCAAACCAATACCCTGACTCCTAGGGCAGCATCTACCACCTCCCCGAATGTCCTTCTGCTGCATCAGAGTGAGACTGTGTGTCTCTGAACACTACGCATACTTTGCCTTTTATCACCTATATGTACCCACCAGCTTCTCTTTTCTCCTCCTGCAATGTATTTGCTTACATACTTCTCATGCTAAAACTGAATCAGGCAGTTGAAGTATAAATATATATTTATTATTTCGAGAGCAAAATGCTGCACTAATTAAGGATGGTGAAAGCTATTAATTTTATGAAGAAAACTGTAATTACGAGCTTTAAAAGTTAAATAGGGACATAGATGGATGGTTAGTACAAATATCAAGACAGTGTGTTTGCTTGATAATTTCAGGAAGACTATTACAGACCAAGCCTATTAAATGTACATAACAGTAAAAGGCAGAAAGTCGAGATTTAATTCTATTACAATTCTAATCTCTGCAGAAATTTGAGGGTATTAGCCTTCCTCACGCAGAACAGAATCTCTTTAAGAATTCTGTTTCATTTCTGGGTGGTTTAATGCCTTTTAGGCCATTGATCCTTCAGGCAAAGGCCTGGTTAAGAATTGTTCATACCTTGGGAGAGTAAATTAGAAGCAAAATGCCAACTTTGCCGGGCCCAGATTTCACAGAGGACAAAGTTCCCAGCAGAGACTCCGTGAGCAAGTGTCTTTGAGGCAGATGTGGCGAAGGGGGGAAGCGGGAAGGAAAGGGAGCAGGGATTACAGATCAGCAAGTCATTCCAGGCAACCGTTTGTACTAATTCTTCTAACCTTGATACAGCAGACCCATGCAAATGCCTTAGGATGCCACTCCTCGTAGTTTTGAGTCTTCAGAGACTAAAATTTCAACAACATGCTTGTAGAAATGACAGCCCCGGGGGTTGTAGATGAGGCTTTTGGGATATACCTAAGCCACTAATCCTGAGTGCGGAGTTCCTTCTAGAAACATATTGCTAGAAACTTTGACCTGAATTACATTGCTTGTTCTAAGCTGGTGATGGTTGACTTGGGCCCTGGTTGTCCTCGGGGCCCTGAGCTCTGCTTGTGGGGACACCAGCCGAGTGATGAGGGGCAAGAGGGAAACTTGGGGCCTGGGGGGAGCCAGGCTCAGGGCACAGGTTGGCAGACGCTATCTGGAACCTGAGTTTTACAGCTGGGGGGGCCTCACAGTGAGGCTCAGGGATGGCAAGTGGCCCCCAAAGGTGACACAGCCAAGTAGAAGCTCAGTCAAGGTTGGAGCTCTGAGCTGAGCTCTAGTGTCTATGAGAGCTTTCTGGACAAGGGCAGCCACTCATCGGCCCAGGTCACGTTCCTGCCCTGGGGCCCAGGGAAGAGAACGCGGCCACTTCCTGCGACTCCTCAGGTCCTGTTTCCAACCATCCTCCGTTTGGCCCAGCATTTGTTGTGAGCTCATTAGCTGTGAATCCACGTGCACTCACCTCTACACACCCGCCCAACGATAAGGAGACCACCCTGAGTTGGCTTTCCTGCGGGGGATTGTTCTCTGTCTGCAGCCTAAGGATTCAAACACACAGTCCTTTCCCCCTTTACATCCGGTTCCCCTTCCTGACATTTCATAATCTACCAGGGATGCTCCATATCCTGATATGGGAAGCTCCCCTCCCGAGCCCAGTCCCACTGAAACCAGGACTGCTCTTTCTCAGAAAGAAACTGGGAGAAACACGGTAAGTCAACCAGGCAAGTGGGAGGGGGATGAGGCTGGGTTCAAGATTCAACCGCTCTAGAGCGGGAATGGATTGCACCTGGAATCGACCCCTCACAGAGTTTATTAGGGCAAGTCTCCAGGAGGTCCCCCCCCTCAGGGTAGGCTCGCAACAATTCTGGGGCGAGGAGGTCCTGGCTTACAGCCCAGCTCCGCCTGGGGTTGTCCCCAGGACCTCCACCTGCTTCTCTCTGCTGGCACTGCGTTTCTGATCTCGTCTACACTGTCCCTAAGCCCGCCTGGGAGCCTCAAAGACCTACAGGCCCTTCTGTTTCACAGAATTCATCAAACCACACCCTTCCCCTGCTATTCCAACACAAAGAGACACAAGTTTAGGGCTTGGGTTTTGTTGTACAATAAAAATATTTTAGGGCGCCTGGGTGGCTCAGTTGATTAAGCGACTGCCTTCGGCTCAGGTCATGATCCTGGAGTCCTGGGATCGAGTCCCACATCGGGCTCCCTGCTCGGCGGGGAGTCTGCTTCTCCCTCTGACCCTCCTCCCTCTCATGTGCTCGCTCTCTCTCATTCTCTCTCTCTCAAATAAATAAATAAAATCTTAAAAAAAAAAAAAACAATAAAAATATTTTATTGCAATTTTTTTCAGCTAACCATGTCCGAACATTTTGGAATTCATTCCCTTGGCCTTTTTTTCTAATCCATGTAGGACTACCTGCTCCTCCGTAACACAGGATTCTACTTTCGAGTAGCCTAAAGTGTTATTATTGTAACATGTCACTATTTGTGAATATTTATATTGTTTATAATCCCTTCCGCACCCCCCACCCCCAAAGAGTTTCAAAGGCGGGGGAAGGCCTTTGTAAATTGGACACCAAAAGCGGAGCCGGCAAATCTCAACATGCAGAGAAGCCTACATTGTGTAGGTCTACAAGCCTCAGATACAAAATTCAAAGACAAACTACAAACTAGGGGGAAAACATGCACCATCCATGAAAGGCTGCATGTAAACAGTTTTAAAAACTTAATTGGGAAAAGATGAACACCCCAGAGAACAAAGTCCCTAATGGGCTTAGCCCGGTCAAAAAATACAAATGCCCAGGAAATACAAAAATGCGTGCAATCTTGATAGTTATCAAATAATGCAAATTAAAATGATTTAATGCCTTTTTTTTTTTTTTTTGCATATCTGAAAGGCACAGATTTTAAGAAACCATAATCCTCTGTGTAGACCCAGACATAGATCCAAAGCCCCTGGGCCGTGGCCGGGAGAGGTGGGAGCTGTTAAGTTCTTTCTGGAGGGAGGGCAGCAGTGTGACTCGGATTATAAAGCCCCAAAGGGTCCAGGCCTTTGATCGTTTTCCTTTTTTTCTTTGTTGAACGGTTGTTCCCAACATTTCTGGAGTGCACGTGGTTTCTGGACGCCCCTCCGAGTCCCAACTTTGGCAGGCCCCACCGGCCGGGACATAGAAGGCAGGTCAATGTAGCCCGCGGGCAGCACGCACAGCGATCTCTCAGGCCAGCCATCGCTACCTCCCCAGCCCCCGGCGGGGCCTCCCGTGAGCTCAGCACAGTTCTCTTGCACGCCGCTTACCACGCCCAGTGCTTGGGGCACCCATCATGCTGGGGCTTTGCCACCGCACCTGGGGCTGCAGGGCCTGCCACCAGCAAGTGGGTCCTGCACTGCTCTCCCGAGCCTTCCCCGTCCAGGTCCTGGCCAGGGGGCCTCCTGCTTCCCTCCACACTGGGGCAGCGTCCGCACATGCTGGGGCCAGGCCACAGACCCAAGTCCTCAACGTAACCAGACACGTGGGCATCAGAACAGGCTCTGACCGAGACAGAATGGGCTTAGCTCAGACCTCAAACTCACTAGTACATCAGTGGAAGAGAAAGAAGACAGTGGTGAAAGCAAGGAAATCTGGTAAAAAACAAAACACAACACAACAAAACAAAACAAAACACAAAACCCCAAAAACCCAAAAACCAGGGGCAAATACAATGAGTATACAGGAAGCTCTAATAATTTGGAACCTAAAAGTAAGTTAATGTGAAAGAAAAATGTGCGTGTGTCTGTGTCCATCTGTCTATCTGTGAGAGAGAGGGAGGCAGTGGGGAGAGGAGAATCGATTGGCTGAAGGTCAAGTAAGAAGGGAGGAGGCCCACTTACTTCCCCACCTCCATCTGGTCCAACAGTGGGAGAGGAGGTAGACCTCCTCCCACTCATGTGCCTAGGAGCTGGAGGGTGTCAGCGCACCTCCTCAGGCCTGCCAACATCCCAGGGGGGCAGCAACAGGTAGTCCTGCTGCTTGAGGGCCTTGAAGTGCCGGATGGCTGGCATCTGGGGAATGGCCTGGCCCAGGGCCTTCTTGGCCTGGAACCCCTGGTCAGGGTCCCCGATCTCAGGACAGGGTCCTGGGGAAGAGGGCTTCGTCTGGGGTGAGAGAGGGCCAGAGCCCAGACCAGGGAGGAAGCAGTAGTCACCCACTTGCTGCAGGACCAGGAGCCCCTCGGGGTGTGGGGAGGCAGGGGCCCCCTCTGCTCTGGGCTCCCGCAGGCTTAGGATGGGGCTGCTGGCTGTAGGAGGGGCAGGACTGCCCAAAGGGGACTTGGGAGACTGGCCTGGGGTTGGAGGGACATCCACATAGCCCTCAATTTCTGGCTTGCTGGGGGCTGGGCCTGCATGGGGCCCGCCAACCACTCCAAGATCGAGGCTGTGGTTCTGGTCTGAGGGCAGGTGCGGAGGGTGAACTGTGGAGACAGAAGGCAGCCCCGTGGGCAAGGGGAGAGCTAGGTCTGTAGTGGTGATGTAGCCAGAGGCCAGGAAGCCATCCTCAGGGCCCCCGGAGCCAGCGGGCCGAGCTGTGAGGGCTCCGTCCTTCGGGCTGGGGCTGTTCTTTGGGCCTTGACCGTCTACCATCAGCCCGGGTGCAGAAGGGGCAAGGCCTCCCCCTGACTCCAGGGAGGGGTTCCCCTCTGCGCCTGGGCCAGGGGTTCTCTCCAGATCCTTGGCCTGGCCCTGTGCCATCACCTGGGCCAGTGGGACCAGCTGCACCTGCCCCCCCGCCGGCAGACACAGGTACTCCAGGGACCCCGGAGACTGCGGCTTTTGGCTCACGCCTGCCTGTGGGGGCGCCGGCTGGCCCAGCACGTCAGGCAGGGAGTGGCTGTGGGGGAGCCCCAGGTAGGGGCCATTGAAGTGGAAGCCGGAAGCCTGGCTCTCGGGCCTGCCCGCCGGGGCTGACAGGCCTGGCTGGGGGCCGCGGGCCTGCTCCGAGTACAGGTCCAAGGAGGCTGGAGTCGTGTCAGGCTCCGATGGTGATTCACGGGCATCTTTCGGATCCTCCATGGTGAGAGGCGACACCTCGTTGTGTCTGTAGTCTACAGGGAACACGCTGTGGGGAGAACGGGCACAGGGACATTGGGGCCACTTCAGCTCATGCTGGGGCTGGATGGTGCTGGGGAGGTGGGGGGGAGGCCCGGCCCCACCCAGAGCTCAAGGAGGGCGCAGGGCAGGGCAAGATCAGGAAGCAAGCCCAGAGAGGACACGGCACGGGCCTTCAGTCCCCCGCGGGTCTCGCCCACCAGCCTCCATGCTCTTGTTCAAGGTCTTCCTCTACCAGGTGTGGCTCCTCTCACCCCGTGCTCCTTCATCCGCCCAGCTTCAGGGACCGGGTGGATGCCCAGCCCACGCATGCCCAGTCATGCCCTCATCCCTTCATTCCCCCCACCCCACCCATGTCATCAGCACCCCAGTGTGGAGTCTTCCTGGGCAGCAGGGCAGGGAGAGGTCATCTGCTCCAGTCTTCTGCCTCGGGTCAAGTCCAAGGTAGGGCCCTCCCTAACTCGGGAATCAGGAAGTTCCTCCTGACACCCAACCTAGGCTTTAGAGCAACCAGCCTCCATGGATCTCTCCATCCTGAGCCACAGGCCAGAGGCCACTTCCTCTGAGCCTTCAGCGTGTGTGATGGGGCCACCCTCCCGCCTCCTAGGGATCCCGTGCCCAGGCACTCACCCATCCAGCTCAGGAAAGAAGCTGCCTTGCAGCTCCTTGTGTGGGGGGCTCCTGCTGATGAGCACCGATACGCTGCCTGGGAGCTGGAGCCTGGCACTCCCGTTCTGGGAAGAGAAGGGACATTTGTGCTGTGGGAAACTGAAGGGGGCGGTGAGGACTCACAGGGGATGCAGCGAGCCCCCAGACATAGAAGGGTCTCAGCAAGGTCAGGACGAGCCCCGGCCTCCTGACACCAGGAAGGAGAGGCCCAGAGAGGGGCTGGGATTTGCCATGGGCCCTCGAGCACCCGGGGATGGGGATCTTCTTCTCACGAGGCCACAAATCTGGGGTGTCACTGCCCCCACACCCACACCCTAGTAGCCACAAGACCCCTCCACAGGCAAGCTGGCCGTGCCTGACCGAAAGGTCCCCATGACCCACATGCCGGCGACACCCACCTTGTGACCATCTCAGCATCCAGGATGTGCGTCCAGCCTCACTGCCCGCCCCTCTCAGTCCCCTTTACGAAGGGGTCCTGTGTCCACCCTCTGCAGGCCTCTCCCACCTGGCACCACCCTGGATCCTCCAAAGCTCAACTCCGATGTCCTGTCCTCGGGGAAGCCACTCGGCCTCCCGTCAGCCCACCGGCCCCTGCAGAACTGAACCTCCCCCTGAGGGCCGCCCCCGCCCCTGACTCCTAGCAGGCCCCCTGTTCCACTCCACCCCTGCTCCACGGGAGCCCTGCAGGCAGGGCCAGCCCTGTGCGTCTGCAGGTGCCCAGATGATGGCAGAGTTGAGCTTTCTGGTGCCGGCCCACCTCTTAGTTTCCTGGCACCTTCCCCGGCCACCTAGGCTTCGCGCTCAAAGCCACAGGAAAGCGGGGGAGACATAGGGACGGGGACATGGGCACAGGAGTGAGGAGCCCCTACCACCCCAGCCGCCTTGACAGCTAGATCTTACCTGGAACAGGTGGCTCTTGCTGGGGTTGGGGATTTTCTCCTCCCACTTCCGGTTCAGCCTAGAAAGATACCAGGGAGGTACAGCTGCCAGGGACCTCAGGGAAGCTGCCCCGCACTCCTGTGCTGAGAGGAGACTGAGGCCCAGGACGAAGGCGAGATTTGTCCAAGGCTCCCGGGGAGGAAGGGGCAGAGCAGGGACTAGAGGGAGCCAGTGTGGGGGCCTGGGCACCCCCACCCGTCACGGAGTCCCCTTACCTGTACCCATACATGCCACAGAAGCGCAGGGCAGGGAGCAACGCCAGAATGGTGAAGACCAGGATGAGCAACAGGACCCACATGGGTAGCACTGCAGGTGCCAGGAAGGAAAAAAAAGAGCATTAGCATCTGGCGGCGGGGGTGGGGGGGGTGGGGGAGAGGGGGGGGTGGTGGCAGAGCTGGAGGCTTAGGAGGGGGAGGAGGCGAGGCTGGGGCAGAGTCCCCAGACCCTGCTCTGTGCTGCTGTGGTGTTCCAGAAGCAGCTCACTGTCTTGAGGTGCAGAGTGGGGGGAAGGCCAGACACGGGCTAAGAAGGACAGGGAAATGGCCTGACCTCCACCCCTCCCCCACAACACAAGGTTTAAGCGCTGGGAAGTGATGTGCAGATACTGGACTATCGGAGCCAAAGGCCAAGAAAGAATTCTTGAGATGTCTTTGATGCAAAAAGATGTTGTTGTTGTTTTTTAAAGATTTTATTTATTTATTTGACAGAGAGAGAGACAGTGAGAGAGGGAACACAAGCAGGGGGAGTGGGAGAGGGAGAAGCAGGCTCCCCGCCGAGCAGGGAGCCCGATGCGGGGCTCGATCCCAGGACCCTGAGATCATGACCTGAGCCGAAGGCAGTCGCTTAACCAACTGAGCCACCCAGGTGCCCCAAAAGATGTTTTTATTATAGCATGGGGACAGGACCCATGGGAGGAAGGGCTGCCCAGGGATTGTGAGCAGTGACTAATTATACACTTTGGAGTTGGGGGAGGTAAAGACTGCAGGTTATAAGAAAATTTAATTTTGTCTACATTTCTTTTGCCTTTGTTCCCCACATCAGGAAAGACACAGAGGGTTAGATTCTTTCCAGTAGCAGGAGCGGGTGGGGACTATAGCTCAGGGACTATAGCTCAGGGCAAACACTGTGGACTTCATGTAGGAGGCAACGCATACGCTTGAGCTTCAAGTAACAGGGAGGTTTGGAGAGGTAGAGATGGGAAAAACCTGGTGGAGGAACCAGGAGGGGTAAAGGCCCATCAGGAGCCCCAACGTCAAGCCCCTCACAGGCTGGGCCCCTCCAGGACTCCCTTGGTCTCTTCTCTTAGGCCTGGTGTCCAGACCTCTTTTCTACTCGATTGTAACCCTCTTCCTGGGACTCGTCCCCTGCGAGGCTGGCTGAGGCTGGGGTCCTTGCTGCTAATAACTCCTCCCTCCTCCTGGACCTAGTCTTGTACTTGTCTCCCGGTGGTCAGTATAGAAGCAGGGAGATTAAGAAATCTGGGGCATCTGGGTGGCTCAGTCGGTTAAGTGTCTGACTCTTGATCTTGGCTCAGGTCTTGATCTCACGGGCGTGAGTTCAAGCCCTGCGTTGAACTCCACTGGGTGTGGAGCCTACTTAAAAGAAAAAAAAAAAAAATCAGAAAGAAATCAGACCAAACCCTTCCAGTCCCAGGCCTCAGTCCATAGCTCCTGATGTTTGCTGCTATGATAACTGTAACTGGAAATTCGGGCTGAGTGGTCACTAGGTGATGGCTGCTACAAAGGCTAATGAAGCCATGGGCCATATTAATAGAGGGCTAAGGTCCGGTCTGAGGGAGGAGCGACGGTGAGGACTGCTTCTCGCTGCTCTCAAGACCTCACCTGCAGTCTGTGTTGCACACCGGGTGTCATTTCGTGTGACTAGTGACACATAGAAGAAAGGATACTTGGGTGGGGTGGGGTCACACTTCTGTGTCCACATCACCTTTGTCCTCTGTCCAGCTGGGCTGTACCCGGGAGGGAGGGTGGAGGCTGGGAGACATACCCCACTCGGTGTCCCAGAAGCTCTCCTCACTCCACTCGCTCCAGATACCGTTGTAGCCGCTGGGGGTGGGCTTGACCCTCACTCTTGCCTGGTACCTGGTAGAGGGCTCCAGGGGCGGCAGCGACATGCTGTGGGCGTTCTGGAGGGTTTCCGTCTTGCTCTCCTGAGGGCACACGTGAGTGAGCAGGTGTGCTGAGGCGGAGGCAACTTGCTGGTGTGTGTGGGGCACAGCCCCAAACCCCTCCACCTCAGGGCCCCGGGTTTTCTGTCCCATCAGTCCCCAGCTGCAGCTGCATCGCCAGGTCTGAGGCAGTGCCCCCAGCCCCCACGGAGGGCCCTACTCCAGTGCTCGCCGAGGTAGAGCACTCTGGGTGGGACTGGGGATTGCATTCCTATGCCCTAGGACAATACCAAGGCCCAGAAATCCCGAAGACACATCATGTCCCACCCTCACTCTGAGACAAACCCCCCAACCTCCCAGCTCCTCAGGGACAGCCTGGACCCCAATTATGGCCTTCCCAGGAATGCCGTGCAGCATGACTGAACTCGGGGGGTCTGCTCCTAGCTCCCCCACTGACCGCGCCCCTCCTGGCTTCAGTTTCCCTATTTCCAGGCTGAAGGTCTGCGGCTGGCTCCGAGGTTTCTGACTTGGGCCACGGGGAGCCCCAGGTTCTGCACACAGGGCCCGAGGCTACCTGGGGGTGCGGGCCAGAGATGGAACCCTGGGCTGGGGCCCTGCCTGCTTTATCAGGAGCAGCTCTGCTCGGAGCGGCTGCATAGTTGTATTCCAGAGAAGACCTCTTTGAAGAAGACCTCGGTGACTTTGGAAAACCCTTCATCCGGCTTGTCTCCCTGCCCTCCAAGCCCTGACATTTGCATCCTTTTTGCAGTTCGGGGTCCCATAGTTCATTCTGGCCATGTCACATCACCTCTGTGAGCCATAGACCTTCACCAGGGAGGGGACAGTGACCAGCCGACCACACAGAGTTATGACTGCTACGTCTCAGCAGCTTCTTCTGACTGGTCCCCGTGCTGGGAGCCAGGCACCTGGCAGGTTGGGGCTCTCCTGTGTGTTTTCTCACCCCGCCCCCCTCCCCAGACTGTGTTTCCGGGGCAGAGGTCCTCACCTCCCATGAGGCTGCATCTTTCTTGTACTGGACCTGGAAGGTGTGCCCTATGTGTTTGTAGAACATCTCCTCTGCCATCCAGTGCAAGGTGTAGCCGTCTCTGCTCTTAGTCACATTGAGTGTCGGCTGAGCCATCTGGACTGGAGGGAGGGAAACCTTTAGGAAACATTGTTCCTATCATGCCTCCAATGGAACATTCTTTTCATTCCATGTTGGTCACAGGTGCTCTCTCTAACTGGGTCCAGCCAATCTCAGGGTCCTTGAACCCCCTCTCCCCTGAGCAGCCCTTCTCTGGGGAGATGCTGAGATACGCTTGTTTTGCAGTGAGGTGACCCAAAGCATGGGTTACTCCTCACATTTAAGTAAAAATAAAAACACCAATAATTGGTCCTCTTCTGGAGCATTAGCTATGTTGTATGCACTGTCCTACAGGCTCGGTCTGCATGAATCGCTTCACTTGATTCTAACAGCAACCCCTACATGGTAGGTCCTATTCATTTGCTACAGTTCACAGATGAAGAAACTGAGCCCCAGAATGATTAAGTCACCTGCCAAGGACAAGGCAGCTAACAAGTGGTGGAAAAAAGATGGCAACCCAGCAGACCCCCAGAGTGACTGGTGGATTCCAACCCAGGTGACAGAGACAGATGGGCTGTGGCCTCCTGCACACACTCAAGACTGGGTGGAAGAGCCTGGGGCCCTGAGAAGCCATGCAGGAGGTTCCTTTGCACGGGGTCCTTGCTACACAAGAAGAATCAGGGATATGATCCTGTGAGGAATTAAAATTTCTTTGCATGTATTCTAGCCCTGATTGAAGAAGTCAATCATAGATCAGTTATTTTGAAGATGGAAAATATCCCTTGGTGGAGGACTTTGGGAACCTGAGAGAAAAATCCAGTCAGGGAAGGAAAGGGAAAGTTTGATGGGAGGACTGGGAGGGCGTGGTTGGCAGGAGGGACCACAGAGCAGCTCAACAGAAAAGCAGAGCTAAAGGAAGGTGAAAACAGGTTTTAAAGATGTGTTCGTGAGGATTATCGGTTGAATCTTTCTTCATATTATTTGCCATTGTCATTGTTGTTGCTTCTTGAGCACTTCAAGAAGAGATTCAAATGACTTTTGTTCCCTTTGCTCACTGGGCTGCATTTGGTTGACAGCGACAAACAGGAGAGCCGGCCATCAGGAGTCCTGAGTTGATGTGGGGGACACACGCAACAGGATCATTGCAGGAGCACCCATGACGAAGGCGGTGGGGGGGAGGCAAACTCACTGTGGTCCGAGCTCTTTATAAACTTCTCCTCCTCCTTCAGCCGAAGGGAGACGGTGTATTGGCTGTGGTTCCCGGGGTCGGGCACGGGAATCTGGCATCGGTGTCGGACGTGGAGGCCGGGGAACTCCTCCTTCAGCACTGGGGAGCACTCTTCTTCCCTGAGGATCACGGTGGAGGTGAGGGCAGAAGGAGGCAGGTGCCACGGGAGGGATGTGACCTCGGGAGGAGCCGTGGCTTCCGCTGGGGCCCCCAGAGTCAGGAGGAGGCCTGGAGAGGGCAAGGTGTTGAGGCGGGGAGGGGAGGGGTGGGGAGGGAGAAAGGGGACACTCACCCTGCATTGGGGCTGGCCTTGTAGAAGAGGGTGAAGGAGACTGTGCTGGCCACCTCGGACCTCACTTCCCAGGAGCAGCTAAGCACGGCGGCCCCGTCGAAGAAGCACTGGAGGTTCTGGGGCTGGGCCTTGTCCCCTGGGAGGGGAGACAGTCCCTTATTCATTCCCTCCTGCATTCATTCCTTTGCTCTTAGGGGGCCTACTGGGAGCCTCATCTCCTAGAGATCATGGGCTTGGGCCCCAGAAAAACTCGGGCTTCAACGTAGCCTGAAGCCGCCAGCTGGGTGAGTGAATCCCGTGACCCTTCACACCCCTCTGGGCAAAATGGGGAAGGCATCTCGTTTCCGTGCTCGGGGCCTCAATACAGTGATGTTGGTTCATCTCCACGGAGCACAACACTCAGGAAGACACAGCTGCTCATCAGGCTACTGTCATTGTCACTGAAAGTGCCCCTAGCCAGAAGATGTGCAGAGGCCGGGGCCCGGAGAGAGTTGGTCCAGGGAAGCGATTCTAAACCCATGACACAGGAGACTGGTGGAATCCCGCAGAACGGACTCCCCGGAGCTGGACGAGCCGCCCTCCCCTCAGAAAGGCGTTGCCCCAACTTTGACTGTGTTACCTGTCTGTGAGGGCCAGCAGACCTCCGGGCTCCACTGGCTAGGCCGCCCCGAGAGCCCTGAGCTGGGGGCCAGATGGGTGCGCACTCGGGCCACATAGGTGCTGCTGGGAATGAGGTGCTCTGGTGCCAGGACGGCCTGGGAGGACTTGAAGTAGAGGGTGGAGGCCTCCTGCAGGGAGAGAGGGGTTAGGGGAGAGGCGCCCACTGGGCCGGTCCCTTGGCTTGGGGCGGAGCTGGCCATGGTTCTGACCTCCCAGGAGTCCTGCAGCCGCTTGTAGACCACCTCATACTCCAGGTTGGACAGCCAGTGGCTCTGGGAACCAGGAAGGGCCACCGTCCAGGTCAGCAGGAAGCGGTCCCTGGTAGTATTGATCAGGAGGTCCTTGGGCACCGGGGCCTGCACTGGAGGAAGGGGGGCAAGGGCCCATAAGGGGCTGGATGACTGTCGGGCGGCATTTTCTGTGTGGGCAGATGGGCTCCAGGCTGAGTGCCGCCCCTACCAGCAAGTGGCCTTGGATAAGACCCCTTTCCTCTGTGGACCTCAGGCCCTTCACCTGCAAAATTGTCTGGGGTCACTGTGAACACGAACAAAAGCTGTGCACATATCACATAAGCCCCATGAAGTGCTGGCAATAAGCTCCCAATGGAGCCCCCTGTCCCCACCTGTCCCCACCTGTCCCCAGGGCCCACCCTGCAGCCTGTGTGGTCTCCTTCCCAGCAGAGGGCACTGTGGCTCACGTTACTCCCTCTTGCCCTGTCCACCCTCCTTCGCTTTCCACCTGCCCAGGGTCCTGCTCCTCTCAGAGCCCAGCATAAATGTCGCCTCTTTTAGTACCTTCTTGGATTCCCCTCTGCTGGGCAGAATCCCTCACTCCTTTTCCCATCCCACCATAGCCCGATGTATGGTCCTTACAACCCTAGTGCATTCATGTGTTTCCATGTCTGCCCCTCCAAGTAATCAGGAGCTCGTGGGTGGCAGTGTTTGGGCCTTGAGCCCCTTCCCTATCCCCACGGCCTGAGAGTAGTGGCTCAGGGAATTGGGGGGACAAAGTGAGTGAACGATGAATGACTACACAAATAGGTACGTGTAGGCAACCTTCAGAGACCTTTCAAGAAATCATTCCATCAGCCTACAGCAAGCGTCTGTCTGCTGGGAGAGCATATTCACTCATGAATGGCCTGGCTCCCGCCTTCCTGAAGTTTCTGTGTCTGAATGCTGAGGGGTGACTTTCAAGCACCAAACAAGGTGTAAATGTTCTGTGCTGAACGTGGGCCATAGCAACGCTGGAGCCTCTAGAAAATCTTAAGGCAGGAATAGCAGATACAGGGCACCCCCTCTTCAGTCCCCCACCCCTGCACCCACAGCAGGCTCATCAGTCCCTGCACGACTAGCCCCTGAGCCTGTCAGGGAGTGGGAATCCCTCTCAGCATGGAGCTCTAGAAGCTGTTACCTGAACGGACCAGGAACCCAAGCAAACACCTATTCACCCGACCTGAGAGATTTTAGTCGGCTAGCTCATTGCACAGGTCAAGAACCTGAGAAAGGAAGTGAAATGTCCCAGACCTCTGCGTGTGGGGGCCTCGAATGCACACCTGTCCTCTTGCCCAACACCCGCCAGCCTCCCTGATTCATTGCCAAAATGGTTTGGGCTGGAACTTGACCTCCTTGCTGAACATACGCTTCAGGAGGCAAACACCACACTCCCTCCCCCCTTTCTAAGTTGACACCTTCCCTGTGACCAGGCCACCAGATCCTGGGATAAATGATGGATGGTTTTCCCAACCTGCCCTGCCCTCCCGTCTCCCAGCCTTGGCACATGCCCGTTTCCTCTACCAGGAATGCTCTTCCTGCTCTGTTCTCCCACCCACCCTTCAACCCTCCCTGCAAAGCTCTTTCCTCTGGGAACCCTGTCCTGACCACCACCCCCAACCCGAGGCTCCTCACCCACTGCCCCTCAGCACATGGCATCCACCTGTGGTTCAACTTCTACTGTTTCCTGCCTCTCTGCATGCTCTGAGGCCCACCGGGATGGGGCCCTTTCTCTTCCATCAAACATGTTTTGAGACCTGTTTGAAATGGAATTCACCATGGCCTAACCCATCCCCTCTTCCGGGCAACAGCTTTATGCTGCTGTGATGAAAACAGGCAGGAAACAAAGGCCGGAGCCCCCTTTCCATCCGATGCTTGCAGGTGCAACGGGCTGCCCAGTGTTTGGGACCCAGGACGCTAAGTCACACACATTGCATCTGAGTGGCCTTGAGCATGTTCCTGTTCTCTTGGCTCCATTTCATTATCAGTGAAATGGGGTAAAAAAAAAAAAAGTAGCACACGACACCATGCATTATTGTAGTTATTAAATAATATTGGGCAGTGTTTCCTAAAAGCCAGTCATCTGTGGGATTCTTACCACGTGAATTCCAACTTTAAAAGATGATCCTCTTGAACATCTCTATTTTAGGTTCATTCTGAGCACAGATATAATTGAATTAATGAGATTGAAGTGCTGGTTATATATGACTGTGTAATATACAGTCACATGAAACTTAACTATTTACATAAAATGATCATTGACACCCACCCAAGAGCACTGGTTTTGGGGGCCGCTGTGGACACACGGTGTGCTCGCTGGCCCATCACTGTCACCACCACTCAGGGGTGGCACTTTGGAAGAGTTATATGACCTCTCTGGGCTTTAATGGGCTTTAATCACCTCATCTGAAACTGGGCTGTTGCAGATTTGGATGAGACTAGATTGGTGATGAGTGCTTTCGGGCTGTAAAGTTTCTACCTGAATAGGAAGGATTGTTCTGGAAGGGAAGCCTTCACCACTCCAGGTGGTGGGGCAGCCAGGGCCAAGGGAGGTGCCATTGGCCAGGGGCTCCTCACATTATTGCTCAATGCCTCCATCACAGGAAGACTGTAGCCTCTTCTCTCAAGAGACCAAACCCACCCCCAAGCCAGTGAAGACTCTCGCTCCCAGGCCCTTCTGCAGGCTGGCCACCTGCCGAGGGGCCACCTCCATCCGGGGATCCCAGGCCTTACCATGCTGGGTCAGAGTGATGGTGAGCTGGGTGCCCAGAGGCCGGTCCGGTTGGAATGAGAAGTAGTCTCTGTCAGCAATAACAAAAAGCTCGTAGGGAATGACACATCTTCTGGACACACAGCCGGAACAAGGGTGGTCTAACAAGGCCGTGTCGTTACTGAGGTCACAAGGTACTGGCTTTGGAGGGTCCCTGCCAGGAGAGAACGTGGTTAGCCCAAGGTGAGGGAGAGTCACTCATTCAGCAAATGTCAGTAAGTGGTCACCATGTGTGGGGCTCTGTCCAGGGTCAGGGGGACACACGTAACGAGACTAAATAAAATACGTCATGTGTCAAATGGAGCAAACTTCACATAGACAAATACAGCAGGGCAGGGAGATAAGGAAGCCAGAAGGGCTGGGGTGGGGGTACAATTTCAAATAGAGGAGAGAGGGGAGGCCTCATGGAAAAGGTGACTTTGGGGCAGAAACTCGAAGGAAGTGAGGGAGGGAGCCATGCACATTCTGGGGAAAGAGGAATTTAGGTAAAGGCAACAGCAGATGCAAAGGCCCTGGGGCAGGCACAGGCTTGGAGTGTTGTATGACTAGGCAGTTACCCAGTGTGCATGGGGGAGAGTCTGTGAGGGTGGGAGGCGGAGACCAGTAGAGCAAGGTGACAGGCAGCAGTGTTTAAGAGGAATTTAAGGAATTTGGATGTCACCGTGAGTGGGGAAAATGTGGAGTGATGAGCAACGGAGTGACATATCGTGACATCTGCTTTGAAAGGCTTCCTCTAGCTGCTGGGTTGTGGATAGATTGGGTTGGGGGGAGGATGGTAGTCTTGGAAACAGAGACCAGGTAGGAGGCTTCTGGAATATTCAAGTGATAGGAAGTGGTTTGCACCAGGGTGGTGATGTTAGCCTTGGTCAGATTCACATTCTATTTAAAGATGAAGCCGACAGCATTTGCTGGTGGATTAGAGGCACCGGTGGGGAAGGAAAGGTGGTAAAGAAGGTAAAGGAACATACCTCCCAGTTGCTCAGTTGGAGCCTCTGGGAGCTCTCATTTAGTGAAGCGGGATGTGGGGATGAACAGGAGCCGTGTTTGGGGGCAGGGCAGGAATTTGGTTTAGAACAGTGGGGGTGGAAGACACCTTTCTCTAAGGACCTGTGGAGAGCCAGGTGCACCTGCAGGCCTGGAGCTTAGGGCGGGTGGGGCTGGTGAGCGTGTGAGAGTTACCGGTGCGCAGCCTCAGGCTAGGCTGGGTCTCCGCCCCTGGATCAGGATATACCAGAGTGGAGATACAAGGATGAACCCCCAGGCATCCTTCAAGTTGGAGACAAAAGAAGGGAGCAAACAGGGAGACAGAAAAGGTGAGCTGGGGGAGACACAAGGGGAGGGGGGAGACACAAGGAGAGGGGAGAGTGTGGTGGCTGGAAGCCAGGAGACGGAGGTGCTTCCTGAGGACGCGGTGGTCAGTCTGCGTCGGGTGCTGCCCATGGTCAAGATGGGAGACTGAACGTTGGATTTAGCAGCAGGGAGGGCTTTGGTGCCTTGGGCAGGAGCAGTCTGGGGGGCCTAATGGGGGCAGCAGAAGCCCAGGGGCGTGGGTTCAGAATAATTGGAAAGACCTGGGACTCAGTGGGTCTAGACAACTCTTTGGAGGAGGGTGGCCTTAAAGGGAGGCAGAGGATGGGCCCCGCTGAAGAAGATGGGGGTCAGGAGGCCCCCCCAGAGCTGCAGCCTTTGTTGGCAGGGGTAAGTGGGGGTCCGGTCACATTTGCTCAGGGATCGGGAATGATCCTGGGAGAGGGCCTGTCGATGGCACAGGCTGGTCAGCTGCCCTGTGGTCGGGAGAGGGACCTCACCTCTGCAGCCTCGGTTTGCGTGTCTGTGCACTGGGCATCATACCCGTGCCCTGCCCACCTCACAGTGAAGACAATCTAACATCGACTTTTGCAGGGCAATTGTGTTCGATTGTGATGAAATAAGAGTGGGGTGGCAGTGATGTTCTTGAGCAGCAAGAGTGGGTGGGATCCCGGGGCACAGCCTTAGACAGGTCTGGGGTAGGAACTCACTGCAGAGAGCACCCAGGGAGGTGCCAGGGGGGTGGGCGGGCGGTGTGAGCATCGAGGGGGCCGGGAGCCTCTCTTGTGCCGGGGAGGGGTGGGTGTCTCGGCGCAGGAGGAAGCGGGCCACAGCCAGGGCTGGGTGGCGGGTAGAGGAGTGCAAGGAGGGTGGAGCCGGGAAGATGGGGGCTCCCAGGAGCGCGGGAGAGAGGGCTGAGGGGCACTGCTGTGGGGTGTGAGGAGCCGCTCCTCCCCAGGGCTGGCCTCCAGCGGGTCTCCCTGCACCTGCGATGCCAGCCAGTTAATTATTTCTATTCCTGTGAGTTAGACTGTCCCCAGACCCCAGGACGGTGCAAGGAATCTTCCCAAATGGCATATACCCCGGAGACCATGTGAAGGGGAAGGAGAAAACCCACACTCTGGAGGCGGCATGGAGGCCAGCCCCCCATGCCAGACACAGGGCATTGGTCCCCGCTCAGCTGGTCAGCTGCCCTGTGGTCGGGAGAGGGACCTCACCTCTGCAGCCTCGGTTTGCGTGTCTGTGAACTGGGCATCATACCCGTGCCCTGCCCACCTCACAGTGAAGACAATCTAACATCGACTTTTGCAGCGCAATTGTGTTCAATTGTGATGAAATAAGATTATCGCCACCACTGTCCTCAACGGCAAGGTTAACGTAGAAGACTCTTCCCAAAACCCTGACATCAGACACCAGCACCTGGGCCTGGCAGGCTGCCTAATGGAGCAGGAGCTCCTGGGCTGGGGCTGGGGCCTCCCCCTCCTGGCCCTCGGTGCGTCCCCCAACCTGGCACAGCCCCACACAGCAGCAACCCTCCCTGTCCCCAGGCCCCTGGGCTCTGGTGTCACTTACTCATTCAGCCTCCGGTAGAGAGTCAGGTTGATGAGCCGCTGGGCGTCCTGAGTGCTTGCCCATCTGCATGTGATGTGGCTCTTGTAGTCATTATAGCAGCTCAGGGTCTGCAGCGGGACAGTGTCTGCCCAGGGAGAGGCACAAAGGGGGTCACATCTCTCCCCTCAAGATGTCCCTTGTCACCTCCTCTCCCAGCCCCTCTGTGATGCCCAGAGCTGGGGAGGGGTTTCCCAGAGTCCTACAGGGGCTACTGGCTGCTAGGCAGAGCTCCCTGGGGGCCCTGAGGGGGACGGAGGTTCTGTGGGTACAAGGGCCCTCCCTGGCCGTGGACTCTCCTGCCCAGAGAGAAACGCCACATTCTAGTCAGCATGGCACACCTCCTAAGCCCCTGCTGTGCCCTGCTCCTGGAAAGGGTCTCCCTCCCACCCCACGAGGGACACATGCTTCAGGCCCGGGCCTTTGGAACAGCCTGGGAGGAGAGGCACACGCCCACCCTGAAGAGTCAGCACGGCAGAGCCCCGTGGGACCTCCCCGGCCCGGGGCTCTTGGTCAGCTGCAGGGCCTCGTGCTGGGAAATGGAATGTGGTTCTCGGGGTTACCAGAGAAGCCGTGTTCTCTGGGGGCCCCTGGGGAGGGGTTTTGTGGGCCTCAGGAGCCAGAGGAACAACCCAGCAGAGCCTCCGAGCAGGAGGAGGGTGCCGGGGCCAAAGCAGGGAGAGACCACCAGTCTAAGGGCACCCAGGAACGAAGGCACAAAGGAGGGAACTGGTCAAGGCCGTCAGGGGAGCAGAGTATCTGGGGTGGGCTGGGGGCAGACATAAGGCTGGAACAACCAGCCTGGAGGTGAGAAGGCTCGAGTGCCAGGCGGACAAGTGTGGACAGAGAAGCCACATAAGCAGAGATGGACTTTCAGGAGGCTGGAGAAGGATGAGAATCCAGGAGGGGGGCGGGGGGGGGGCACCAGAGAGGATCAAGGAAGGGGAAAATGAGGGAGGGAGGGAGGGAGGGGTCTGGGGGCTTCCTGGGGGACATGTGGGGGTGGCCTTGCTCAAGGACCGGCTGTGAGGAGGGGCTAGGAAAGGAGAGGAAGCAATGGAGCTCACCTTGGGCCCCTGCCACACTGGGCCCCCAGAACAGAGCCAGCAAGACAACGGGGAGCAGCCCCCAGGGCGGCACCATCTCTGGGGCAGCTCTGGATTAGCAGGTGGCCAGCTCAAGTAGGTCCAGCGCTGCGCAGGGGCTGGGGTCCTCACTGGCCTGGAATCTTGGATTCATCCCCGGCTGGAGGCCAGGCCAGACCCATGTCCCCAGCTCCTGTGAATCCTCTCTCCAGGATTCTGCCTGGAGAAGAGACTCCAGCTGAGAGGGGGCCCCTCCTATCCTGTAGCCCCAGGACTTGGCCCATGTTGCAGAGTGAACCCAGGAGTGATGCATGGGCTCCAGCACCCCCTGCCACCTCAGCCTGGCACCCAGGGCAGGCCCTTCCGCTTAGCCTCAGTGCCTAGGGCATGACTGTGAGGGCGATGCATTTAATGGCTTCTGCAGAAATAGGTACCCACCTGGTCGTGCACCAGGAACTCCTGTACAATTCCCTGGCCATGGGAAGACCTGGGAGGGAGCCCTGGTATTTGATTTGTTCTGAGCTCCCTGAGGGCCCTGACCTGATCTGCTTAGAGCAATCACAGAGTGTGGCGTCCACAGGGCCCTCCCCTGGGTGGGATCCCACGCGTGCTCACACCGTGCGCACACACACTCAGGGCCTCGTGCTGTCCCGCCCTCCCTCCATTTACTGTCATCCCTCCCACACCGCCCTCAGAATGCCCGTTCCCTTTTCTCTGCAGAAGGTTGGGGATTTCCTCTTTTCATTTTGTCTAGCCCTGGGAAGTACCCAGGAGAGTAGAGCAGAGCAGAGGACAGCGGCTCCTTTTCTCCCTGTAAGACGATCTGAAACTTCACGAAGCATATATATACACACGCACAAAGCAGCAACTGTCCTACTGGGAAAAGCACAGCTCTGGACACAGCCGACTTGGCCTTCAGCACAGGCTCAGGCCATCCCAGGCCAGCGACCTGGGTTGACCACCAATGCACCCTGAACCTTGTTCTCTGCACCAGTAACATGGGTACAAACACATATCTCACATGAGAGGAACCCACCGCGGTGATGTTTACAGAGCGGTTAGTCCGATAAAAGATCAGGAAAGGGGTGTCTGGGTGGCTCAGTCTGTTAAGCATCTGACTTCAGCTCAGGTCATGATCTCAGGGACCTGGGATCAAGCCCCGAGTTGAGCCCTAAGTCAAGCCCCAAGTCAAGCCCTGGGTTGGGTTCAGTGGGGAGTCTGCTTCTCCCTCTCTCTCTGCCCCTCCCCCAGGTTGTGTACGAGCTCTCTCTCTCTCAAATAAATAAATAAAATCTTAAAAAAAAAAAAAAAAAGAGGCCCAGGAAAGAAGAGTGGGTTTGTTTGGAGCTGGGAGAGGAGAGTATTTGTCCACTTCAGTACCTACAGATGGGGGCAATGCCACCGGGTAAGGGTGTGGGTCCTTGTGGCTGGTACAGCTTGGTTTGCCTACCTGGAAATAGCCTAAAACCCCAGAGCTTCCATTTGGGTCTTACCACAAGTAGAAATACTACATATGTAAAGAGAGTGATTCATCCTAAAATAAGTTAGAGGTTTAATACATTCCAAAGAAAATTTAACATGAAGTTTTCTACAGGAACTTGGAAAAAAAAAATATATGTGAGGACAGTTAATGAGATTTTTGAAAACGAGGAGGCTCTCCCCAATAGCAAAATTTTTTTTTAAAGATTTTATTTATTTATTTGAGAGAGAGAGACTGAGAGAAAGAGCACATGAGAGGGGGGAGGGTTGGGAGGGTCAGAGGGAGAAGCAGACTCCCCGCCGAGCAGGGAGCCCGATGCGGGACTCGATCCCGGGACTCGGGGATCATGACCTGAGCCGAAGGCAGTCCCTTAACCAACTGAGCCACCCAGGCGCCCAATAATTTTTTTTTTTTTTTATTTGACAGAGAAAGACACAGCGAGAGCAGGAACACAAGCAGGGGAGTGGAGAGGGAAAAGCAGGCTTCCCGAGGAGCAGAGAGCCCAATGCGGGACTCGATCCCAGGACTCCAGGATCATGACCTGAGCCGAAGGCAGTCGCTTTAACCAACTGAGCCACCCAGGCGCCCCCCAATAGCAAAATTTATTGTAAAGATCCGGTAAGTAAAGCTGTGTGTTGCACACACACGATAGATCAATGGACATAACGACCACGCAATTCTATTCTACCCGAGAATGTACTACATGATGGAGGATTCATGAATCAATGCGAAGGGATGGAATATAAAAAGTGCTAAGATACTTGAATAACATTGTAAAACATATCCACCTAAATCTCTACCCCACACCATCCCCAAATATCAAGTTAGTTACAAATTTAAATATAAGAAGTTAAATCATATTAAACTTGCAAACCATGTGGCAGACAGTGTCAGCTTCTGAGCTGTCCCCTTCCTCCTTGGTAAAAGAAACTCAAGTTTCAGCTTGGCTTGGTGCTACACAGAATAAAAGATGACATTTCCTACTCTCTTCTATCGCTAGGTATGGTCATGTCACTAAATATTGTCCAAGGAGATGTGAGTGGAAACACTGGGTGTGCCTTCCAGAAAAGGCTTCTTAAAGAGAGTTGGCTCAGGTAGGAGGCTCCATGTTTGCCCTCCTGCCTCTCCTGCTTCTTCCAGCCTACAACTTGGAAGTGATGGCTGGAGCTCCAGAAGCCGTTTTGGATCATAAGGTTGCCTTAAGGATGGAGCCCAATGCAACAGAAAGAGGGAAGCCTGGATCATTCTTGTCACGGTGGAGCAACCATACCAGCCTGAGAGTGCTGGACATCTTTTATGTGAGAAAAAAAAAAAAACCTTCCATATTGTCAAGCCACTGTTGTTTGGGGACAAAACAGATGCAACTGGAAATAGAAGAAAACTTCACAGGGCTTAAAGGAGACAACAGTCCACTAAGTGAAGGGCAAACTCCATTTTTAATAATGCCATACTCAATCACATGCTGGTAAACTTTTGGCCATCCAAGAATAAAAGGATACTCCTAGAAGCTTCCAGAAGTAAACAAGCATTATTTTCAATGGAATAAGGGTCAGGTTGGTCAGATTTTCTCACAAGTGATCCTGAACTCTAAATAGATAATGATCTCTTGAAAATATGTTTAAGCCTAGAATCATTGAAAAAGTCAAAGTTACATTGACACTTGAGGGCAGAAAAACACATTTTGGAAGTGTAAGACAAAGAAAAATTTCAGATCTTTTCTGAGGAACACAATTACTCTAGGATCTATTTCAGGAAAAAGAAAAACTGTCCAAGAAAGATAGTGTATGATACTGAAATTAGTGGTAAGAAAAGAAGCCAATAAGATTTATACTGAGTAAAGAATTGTTATTTATAAAGTGAAAATAAGTGAATTCACAATCACAATATTGAAGTAAAACATAGATGATCGTAATGTGGGAGTTGGCTGTCAGATTAGGGGTGGAAAGCAAAGGAGAACTGAAAGCTTGCTAAGCTAAAGATCATGTCTTGTTTGGAGAAGCATATGTATGTTAATTACACCCAAAAGCAGAGGGAAAATATACATTAAATACGTGTGTTAAAAACATAAGGGTTAATCGGGGCGCCTGAGTGGCTCAGTCGGTTAAGCGTCTGCCTTCTCGGCTCAGGTCATGATCCCAGGGTCCTGGGATGGAGCCCCACATCGGGCTCCCTGCTCACCAGGAAGCCTGCTTCTCCCTCTCCCACTCCCCCTGCTTGTGTTCCCTCTCTCGCTGTCTCTCTCTCTGTGTCAAATAAGTAAATAAAATCTTTAAAAAAAAATGTAAGGGTTAAAAACCACTAAGAGTGAGAGGTAAGCATGGGAGCAAAAGACCGATAGGGAGAGGGAGAAAAGAGAAGAGAAAAAGCAAACAACTTTTCACTCAAAACAAACATGCATACCAAAATTCCCAAACTCGTGAAGAAATTTAATGGTAGGAATAAAAACTGGAGATGGAAAAAAAAAAAAAAAGCAAAACCCAAATTCATTCCAGACAAAAAGAATGTCATAGAACAATCTGACAAAGATGTTTAAAAGAAGAATGCATCATGGCCACATGGGGATTATTCCAGAAACGGATGAAGAGCCATTAAGACATCTCTTCATGATTAAAAGAAACAGGCCAACAGATTAAAAGGGAAAAAAGGATCAGCTTATCTTGACAGATACTTCTCAATATTCGATAATACAAAAGCCCTTCCGATGAAACAAACGAACAGATGAACCTCCTCAAAGGAGACATTGAAGGGAACGTTGGCGTTTCTGGGCATCTACTACAAATCTGTAGTGACGTCAGAGTCAAAAGGAAAATGTTCATGTTCTTCTCGTCAAAGGAACAAACAGGGGAAGGCTGACCACAACTGCCATCTCCAGAGGTCAATCTTCCCCCCAATAATCTCTAAATTCAATGCAATCTAAATCAAAACTCCAAAAGGATTTTTACTGTGCGTGACAAACTGATTCTAGATTATAACAAACCAAACAGGAGAGACGGGTTCTTTAGCCAGAAAAATAATGCGGAATGTAATCGTAGACAGATGGAATGGAAAACAGTAAGGAAAATAACCAAGTAGGAATTTGGGAGGTAAGAGTGGCATTTCTAATCATGGAGGCTACCCACTCATAAATATGATGTTGAGACAGCTGATAATTTTTTTTTAAGTTAGATTACTACTTTATGTATTACCTGCCCCTCCAAATTGCAGGTGAATTAAAGATCTAAAAGTCAAAACTGAAATGGTAAAAACATTTCAAGTATTTCCTTAATCTTAGGGGTTGAAGAAGACACCAAATCTGAAAAGCATAAAGGAAAAACAATGATAAATTTGAGTTAGAAGCAACTAGCACACTTTTATACGAAACAAGATATCTTAAACATGGTAAAGAAAAAAGTCAAGTGATTATCTGGAAACATATTCAAAACATATGTAAATACACTGTTAATAAACCTAATAAATGAGTCACACCTACAGTAAATATGTAAAAGGCAAAGAACCTGTAAGAAAACGGACAAAACATCTCCATACATTTCATAAAAGGAACCCGGATGGCCAACGAACATATATGGCAGATGCATAACTTCACCCATAATCAGGGAAAGGAAAAATCCAAGCAAGAATCAGATCATTTTCATCCATCCATCGGACACAGTTTAAAGACTGATCATCTCCCTGCCCCCCCAAAAATGGCCTTTCGTGCAAGAATGTGAGGGTATATGTTAATTCAGCTACTTTGAGATGATCTGACAATATTTATTAAATTTTTAAATGCACAACCTCTTGCTTGGCAATTCTGCTTCTAGACATGTGGGCTGCAAAAGAAACACTTTCGCGGGTGTGGAAATATTGGAGACAACCTAGATGTATATTAATATGGGATCGGGTAACCTGTGGTATACCGCTACTAATTAATGCCACCTATTTCTTAGGATTAATAAATGAGTTAAATCTATATGTGTTATTGCGGAACGTTGTCCTAAATGTAAATTAGGCGAAAAAAATAAGTCAAAGAGCGGTATGTATATTATAATCCCATTTATGTACAAAGGAAAACTCTATACTTGCAGCATGCTCAGAAGATGTTTTGGGACCAGGGGATAGAGATAGCTGGCGTGTTCTCTTTTGTGTTACATGATTCTGGATCATTCTAACTGTTGATAAAGCAGATACCCACGTAGTCACTTAGTATTAAATACGCTCATCAAACAACTCAACTATCCTGTAGTATTGGTGGGTATGGCACAGGAGAACTGGTGAATGAGAAAAAGAGTGATCAAAGCGAACAGAGGGCGCCTGGGTGGCTCAGTTGGTTAAGCGACTGCCTTCGGCTCAGGTCATGATCCCCGAGTCCTGGGATCGAGTCCCGCATCGGGCTCCCAGCTCGGCGGGGAGCCTGCTTCTCCCTCTGACCCTATCCCCTCTCATGCTGTTTCTCACTCTCTCTCTCTCGCTCTCAAATAAATAAATAAATAAAATCTTAAAAAAAAAAAAGCGAACAGAAAAGGTTTCATTCCTTACAAAACGATTAGAAAGCAGGAAAGATGAGAAGTCGAGAAAATCAGAACCTGGTGATACAAAATTGCTTTAGGGTCTTTGAAGACCCTATAACAACTGGACATTTGCAACTTGTCACTTGGGCCTGACTGGAGAGGCCCCACAGGCTCGCACCTCCGTGCGGACCAGAGGTACCCCTGCACCCCCATCCCCAGGGCAAATGCACGCACCCACGCACACCCCGCAGCAGCTACACCTAGACATCTCTCCGCCCCCGCCCCCACCCCAGCCCCGCACCCCGCCAGCCCGCACACTTGGGTACAGAACACCCACACCTGGGCCTGAACCCCACAAAGCAACAGAGGCTCAGGGCCAAGTATGCCAGCCAAAACACTTTCTTCCAGGGGGAAAAGAAGTCCCTGCGCAGGGGACCGGGCCCTTTCTCATCTTCCAGAGTGAGCTTCCAAAGCCACACCAAGCTCTGGGCCACAGCATGACAAAGTTCCAGGTTTCTCCCTCTGCCTCCCAGTCTCTTTGCACCCCTACATCCCCACGACACACCCACACCCACAAGCGCGACCGCGCCCTCGCTCTCCCACTCTCCCTTTTTAAACCAGGGTGTCAGGGACTATCGGAGCTCTTCCCATTCCAGAGACCAGGAGGCAGAAACCAGGGGGCAGGGAGAGGATGTTCTCACTGCCACCAACATCTTAGCGACACTTTCGTAGCAAAGCAAAGATGCCGCAAGTGTGTGACTCCCAGGCCGGAGCTCTCCACCTCCCCTGGCATCCTCCCTGCTGCCAGGACAGGGGACCCCGCAGGTGAGCTCCCCACCCTTACAGCCCTTCACACGGACACTCGGACTGTCTCCTCGCCCCCTGGCTCCCCAAGTCCCAGAGCAACACCTGCCCACTCCACACCCCCAGGCTCTGCTTGTCCTCGGTTCCCAGCCCAGACACCCCCAGCCCTCCCCTTGAGCCTACCCCTGAAAGCCAGAACGTACCTCTTCACGGTGGGACTGCTCAGCCTTCTGCCAGAGTGTCCAGGCAACAGGGAGCCTCTCACGCTTCCTATTTATGCTGACGCCGTCGTTAGGAAACAGAGAAGCAGAAAGAGGAAGCGACACCAGGCCAGGCCGGTTTCTGTGACTCCTCACAAGATCGCCCAGCTTCTGAGAACTGTGGACACCGAGATATCGATTTTTTTTTCTAGGCCTTACTAAGTTTGCAAATGTTGTTCCTTCGGCCACAAGTACTGCTCCCTATTCACTCCTGCGCATCTCCGTGAGCTCCGTGCCAAGTTGCTTCATGCAGCCCTCCCTCCCTGACGCCCCCGGGGGGTGCAGGGGGAGGTGGCGGCGATAACCAGCTGCCGGGCGGGCTCCCACCTCTACGACCGCGCAGACTGTGACCTTGTGCAAATCACCGGGTGGCGGTGTGTGACTTCGTGGGGTCTCGGGACACCCACCTGTTCCTCACCTTGAGGGTCACCCCTCCCTCACCTTGCCCACCAAGAGAGGGCAGGGGACCCACACCCGTGAGGAATCTGGCTCCTGGTTGACAACCTGTGTGTGTCTTCTAGGCCTGGCCGGAGGCGATCACAAAGCCTTCCCGGGCAGGCCTGTGGGGGAAGCTGCCCTCCCACACCAGCCTTGGGGCACATCTGTGCCTTGTCTGAGGGCCCCTCTGAGGGAGGTGTGGCCCCAGCCGGTCATGCTCTTTCACATATTTGCATTGGAGGCCTCGAGCAGAGGTCTTCTTCTCAAGGGGCACCTGGAAGTCACTCTTCCCCACTCTGACTCAGCACCCTGTTCTTTCCACTCCAAACCCTCGCCCTCACCCTCCCCTGAACCCCCGCCTCCGTAAAATGTCTGGAGCCTTCTGTTCTGGCTCCCTCGACAGCGAGAGGATCCTCACACCCTCCACTCCATTCTACAGGGAAGATGGAAAAGGGGGGTTGGTGCTTTCCCCGGGGGCACAGCCTGCCTTATTCCATCCACGAGGGATTCAGGCTTATTTACCTCTTTCCCTGAGGTTTGTGGCTGTAACTGGCTACTCCGGCACCTGGGCTGAGCTCCTGACAGCGCGGGTCATACCCCTTCCTTGGGTGGGCCAAGTGCCCCCCAGCCTCCGGGCTCCCTGTGTGACCAGCACGGATAGAGAGGCATGACCAGGACTCAGCAGTGAGGTGGCCTGAATCCAGAACATCAGAATTTAACAGTGTTCAGCTTTTAAAAATAAAGTTACCAACGATATAAAAACAAGCAAGCAACAACAAGACAAGCAAATAGAACAAGAAAAGCTTCATCATGTTCTTGAGGGGGTGCCTCTGATCCGGGAGTGAGATCCCACAGGGGAGGTGGAGCGTGTGGTTACTCAGCGGGGTTCTGATGAAAAGGGTGGGCAATGCATGGATCCCACCTAGTTTCCTGGAAGCCTGCTTTTCTTGGCTCTGTGATTCTTGGACAACTGCCTTGCATGCCATGGAGGCTAGCTCTTCTCCTCCTAGGATTTAGGAAGTTTTGCTCATACAATTAAAAAAAAATCTCTATTGTATTTGCATTTAACATATTTCCCCCTCCCTCACTTGCACTCTTTCTCTCTCAGAACAAAAACAAAAACAACACCAAAAAACCCCCAAAACTTTAGGGGCGCCTGGGTGGCTCAGCCAGTTAAGTGTCTGGCTCTTGATTTCAGCTCAGGTCATGATCTCGGGGTTGTAAGATCAAGCCCCACATAGGGCTCTGCACTGGGCGTGAAGCCTGCTTGAGATTCTCTCCCCCCACCACTGTTCCTCCCCCCCAAAATATTTCTAAGTTCTATACACTAAAGTGCACCAATCCTCAGTGTGCAGTGCAGTGCATATTTATAAATCTATACACTCATATAACCACCACTAGATCAAATTTAGAACATTCCAGACGCCAGAAGGCCCTTTTGTGCCCCCTCCCCATCACTGCCTCCCAGAGGTCACTATTACTCGGATTTCTCTCCCTGCAAATTCGTAGTGCCTGTTTTTTACAATTGTATACTATATATCACATAGAATTTGCCATTTTTACCACTTTTAAGGACACAGTTCCATGGCATCAAGTTCATTCACATTGTTGTGCAACCATCACACCGTCCACCTCCAGAGCTTGTTCATCATCTCAAACTGGGAGCTGTTCCCATTCAACAATAACTCCCCACCCCCCTCCTCCCCGCCCCTGGCAACCACCATTCTACTTTCTGCCCTTATGAATGTGACCATCCCACGTGCCTCACGTACATACAGTCGTGCAATAAGTATCCTGATGTGTCTGGCTTATTGCACTTACTGCAACGGCTTCATGGTTCATTCACGTTGTGGCATGAGTCAGAATTTCCTTCTTCTTTTTTTTTTTTAAGATTTTTTATTTATTTATTTGAGAGAGAGAGAATGAAAGAGAGCACATGAGAGGGGGGAGGGTCAGAGGGAGAAGCAGACTCCCTGCCGAGCAGGGAGCCCGATGCGGGACTCGATCCCGGGACTCCAGGATCATGACCTGAGCCGAAGGCAGTTGCTTAACCAACTGAGCCACCCAGGCGCCCCAGAATTTCCTTCTTTTTAAGGGTGAATAATATTCCATGGTACAGCTACACCATATTTTGTTTATCCATTTATGTGTTGATGGCCCTCTGGGCTGTGAGCATGAGTGTACAAACATTTGTTTGAGTCCCCACTTTCAATTCTTTTGAGAATATACCCAGAAGTGGAACGAACTGCTGATCAAATGGTACTTCCATTTTTTTTTTTTTTAAATAACACTGTGATGAACATCTCAGTATATCAGCCCTAATGAATTTTTGGTGTCATTTTTTTTTTCCCTCAAAGATTTTCTTTCTTTATTTGTTTGAGAGAGAGAGAGAATGCATGAGCATGAGTGGGGGGAGGGGCAGAAGGAGAAGCAGACTCCCTGCTGAGCGCAGAGCCTGATGCGGGAATCAACCCCAGGACCCTGAGACCATGACCCCAGCCAAAGTCAGACGCTAAACCAACTGAGCCACCCAGGCACCCTCATATGATACTTCTGTTTAAATATATGGAATTGTTGAATCATTCGATTGGATGTCTGAAATGAATATAACACTGTATGTTAATTATATCGGAATAAAAAAATTTAAAAAATAAAGCAGCTCTCTCAATAAATAGGAAACATTCTAAGTGAGGAATCACATTGTCAGTTTAATTGGGCATGTTTTTATTTTCCCAGTGGCATATAAAACAAAAACATGTCACAGCACCTGGGTGGCTCAGTCGGTTAAGCATTGGCCTTCGGCTTAGGTCATGATCCTAGGGTCCTGGGATCGAGCCCTGCATCAGGCTCCCAGTTCAGCGGGAAGCCTGCTTCTCCCTCTTCCACTCCCCCTGTTTGTGTTCCCTCTCTTGCTATCTCTCTCTGTCAAATAAATAAATAAAAATTAAAAAAACCCAAAAAACAAAAACAAAAACGTGTCTTACACTAGGTGACATCCAGATTCTATGAAACCCAGTGCAATATTGACAAGAACATGACACGAATAATGACCACGGCCTAAGCGTTTTCACAATGTGGCCAGAGAGTGGACACCCCGTGCTTCACTCACACGATTTCTTCCATTCCTGACAATATCCTTTAAGTAGCCAGGATTATCTTCCTATTTACAGATGAAGAAATTGAGGCATAGAAAGTGAAGTAACTTGTCAAAAGTAACATAGCCAGTCTACGGTAACACTGCATTATTTTTTCTTTTTACTTTAATTCCAAAACAATTTCAAAATACAGAAAGTGTTAAGGGCAGCACAGAGAACCTCAATACACCCTTTGCGTGAAAACCCCATTCAATCCTCACTGTCCTTTATAACAGAGGATCCAACTGAGGACCACACACCACGTGTAGACGTCACGTCTCTCCAGACTCCTTCAACCTGGACTAGTTGCCCCTCTTCCCTTGACCTCTGTGAAGTTGGCAGGCCAGGCATTTTGCAGAGGATTTCCTTGTTTAGGTTGGTCTGGTGTTTCCTTAGGTTATAATTTTTGGTCAGGATAACAAAGAAGTGATGCTGGGTTCTTCTCAGGACAGGACATCCTGTCAGGTGTCAAGCTCATTTGTAAGGCTCACTCCACTCACGTGATTAAAATGGTGCTGGCCAAGCTCCCCTGTTGTAAAGTTAGTCCCCCTCTGACTCTTTAAATCAGTAAGTATTTTGTGGAGAGATACCGTGAGACTGAGTGAAATCCCATCATCAGTCTCTTTAAACCCTCTGACTTAGTAAACAATGATGCTCCTTAACGAAATTAAATACGATCAGAATGGTTGTCCCTTTAGATGGTGTCATTCCTTCCTTCCACATTTGTTGGCATTCCACTATAAGACAGAGCTTTATTTTCTTTCCTTGTTTATTCACTTGTTTGATCCACACAAACTTCTGGATTCCTATTTTATTAGGGATAACATCAATCACGATGATTGATTATTTGTTTGGATGCTTTAATCCCCCCAGGTTTGGCCAGTAAGCGCTCCTTCGAAGTGGCTCATGTGTCCTTTTGACCTGTCCCCGTCATTTCGTAGGCCTTCCTGATTTCTAGGCACCATAAGATACTCCCGTCTTATCTTGGATGTCTCCTGCCCCAGCCATAGGCTCAGACATATCTCCAAGAAATTTTATTTTCTCTTTTTTTCCTTTTGTTTGGTTTTATGAGTGGAGAATGGTACACAGGGCTCCCTGCTGCCTAGGGAGTGTACCAAGCCAGGGAATGAATGAATGCATGTATTTACAGCTATAGTTATTTCTATATCTATATCTATTATTTTGAAAATCCCAAATTCACACTGATTGGGACTCCTAGTCCCAATCCAATGACACAGAGTTCATTCTAGCTTTCTCTCATGTAGGTCGGCACCTCTCCTCTTGGCTGTGAGAAAACACATTCTTGTTGTCCTCAGAATGTTTACTCGGATGCTCACCCACCTCCTGGCAGCCAACCCCCTTCCCTGCTGGGCTGCATCCCGGCTCTGACACCTAAACGGTGCTCCCCTCCCCCTCAAAAAGATATGTTGACGTCCTAACCCCCAGGACTTCAGAATGTGACTTTACTTGGAAATAGAGTCTTTAGAGGGATAACAAAATTCAAATGAGCTCACAAGGGTGGAGCTGAATCCAATATGACTGGTGCCCTTATAAAAGGGGAATTTAGACACAGAGATGTGCACGGAGGGGAGAAGATGTGTAGACACACAGGGAGGGGATACAGATACAAGCCAAGCAACACCAAGGGTTGGGGCCTACACCGGAAGCTAGGTGGGGCAAGCAATGGTCCTCTCCTAGGGCAGTCATGTCAGAGAGCCCATGGCCCTGCTGACACCTTGATTTTGGGCTTCTGGGCTCCCAAATTGGGAGCCAAAACATTTCTGTAGCTTTGAGCCACCAGGCTCTTGGTGTTCTTTTACAGTATCCCTAGGAAAGGAATGCCGCCTCCTTGGAGTTGTCCTGGCACCTTCCTGCCCTTATC